CCAAGTAGCTGGAACTACAGGTGTGCACTACCATGCCCGGCTAGTTTTTTTTTTTATTTATTGTAGAGATGAAGTCTCGTCAAGTTTCCCAGGCAGGTCTTGAAACCGCGGGCTCAGGCAGTTCACTCACCTCGGCCTCCCAAAGTGCTGCATTACAGGCTGAGCCACCGAGCCTGGCCAGCATTAAAAAGAAATATTGGTAGACTTGGTAGCTCAGCCTGTTATCCCAGCACTTTGGGAGGCTGAGGCGAGTGGATTGCCTGACCTTGCAAGACCAGCCCAGCAACTTGGTGAGACTTCATCTCTACAATAAATAAATAAATAAAATTAGCTGGGTATGGTAGCACATGTCTGTAGTTCTGGCTACTTGGAAGTCTGAGGCAGAAGGATCGCGGGAGCCCAGCAGGTCGATGCTGGGGTGGCCGTGAGTATGCCACCACACTCCAACCTGGGCGACAGAGTGAGACTCCAACTCCAAAAAAAAAAAAAAGGAAATATTAGTGTCATGTAGGCCTTCTCATTTTAGCCTGCTTCACGGAGGTAAATCTCTACTGATATTCCTTCTTTGTCTTATCCCTTTCCAGTCCATCCTGCTATCTGAGTAACTTTTTAAAAAACACATCTGGTCACATCACTCTTCCTTAAAATTCTTTAAAGCAATGATAATATTTTTTGTGTGTGTGTGTGTGGTAGAACCATTTAATAGAAAAACTGAGCCCTCTTCCCAGAAAAATGCCCTACCACACCAAGTTTTGAAATCTTGAACATAATTTCAAGTAATTCACAAATAACTTGACATCATATTTGGACCTCTGATTAAAACTTTTGCTTTAGTGGCCTCCCAGTGTCTTCACCATAAGGTCAAACTCTTACAAAAATGAGAATACCCAGATAAGCAGAAAGAAAAGAAGCATCAATCCATAATCCAGCTACCTAGAGAAAACCATTTTCTTTCTTCATACTTTTTTTGCTCTGATTTATATATTTTCTAGCTCCATATCTCACTACTTACCAGTGTGTACAAGTACAACTACTTTTGTGTGTGTGTGTGAGAGAGAGAGAGAGAGGGTCTTATTCTGTTGCCCAGGCTGGAATGCAGTTGTACGCTCGTGGCCGCTGCAGCCTTGTCTTGCTGGGCTCAGGAGATCTACCTGCCTCAGCCTTCCAAGTACTGGAACTACATGCGTGCACCACCATGCCTGGTTAATTTTTCTTGATTTTATTGTAGAGAAAACGTCTCGCCAAGTTGCCTGGGCTGGTCTTGAACCCTTGGTCTCAGGCAATCCTCTCAGTCCTCTCAACCTCCACCTCCCAAAGTGCTGAGATTACAGGTGTGAACCTCTGTGTCAGGCACAATTTGGGAAGAACTGACAAAGGTTAACTAAATGGCTGGTTATGACCTTTTATTTTAAACAGATTCAACATCTAATAGAATCTCTTTCTTCCTTGGAAGTTTGTGCGTTTTTCTTCCATTGTGCCCTCAAGGTTTTATGGCTTATTTTTTGTTCTCTTTGCAAGGACAGAGCTTTGGATAAGTTAGCCCCTTTAGTTTTCCTGGTTCCCATCCTGTCTTCTGCTTACCTCTTCTATACTTCTCTACTTCTCAAAGGGAAAACGATTAGTGGTGAATAAGAAATATGTCAAATAATAAAACTTAATTCATTATGTGTACAGCTGTGATGAATAATTCTTTTACTCGCCTGTAAGAGGAGATTTATTATTGAAATATGATTGAAGCCAGTTTATGCTTTATTTTTCTTTGCTTCATTTTATTTTTATTACTTATTTATTTAGTCTCATTTTTAAGATAACTTCTTCAAGCGTCGTTGTCTGAAGGTTGGACTTTTGAACAAAAATACAGCACATGTCAAGATATTAGTCTTGAAATTCACTGAGAGATTGTAAGTGTTGGTAACACAAAAAAATAAGTATGTGAAGCAGTGTATATATTGAGTGCGACTTAGTCATTCTACAGCGTATACATATTTTAAAACCTGTTGCACATGGTAAATATTTAGATTTTTGTTGATAATTAAAATAAATTAATTTAAAAAATATACTAGATCCTGGTTACTAATTTCTCATCATTTGGACTTTTTTTTTAAATTTTTCATGTCAGGACTCTTGATGTATCAGTAATTCAGCCATTTATGGATGGTTGCTTTTACCACAGGTTGCTTATTTCTCTGGGAGAAAAATCTTCATATCTTTATGTTCTGCAGCATAAGGGAGATGATGGTCAGAGTCTTTGGATCTGATTTTCTTCTCCTTTGCAATTAACTGACCTGCTGACTTTAAGGCACGCTATTAAAGCCAGCATATTACTTGAGGCCAAGTGTTTGATGTACTTTCTCAGAGTCATCCTTCCCTTAGCATGCAGATGCTGTTGGTCTCTGTTAGCATATTACCCCAAACAGAATTAGGTTTATAAGAGAACAAGTTAAACAGTTTTTTTTAATATAATTTAAGAATCCTTTAAGAAGAATCTCTTGTATATTTAATTAAGGATTGTCTAATAAGTTTTAACAGTTCTAAGTAGAAACTTATCAAGTTCTCACACACATGATGGAGAAGATAGGTTATTGGACACCAAGGTCTTCTGTGTACATGGAAAGCTAATAGCTATCAATTCAGAGACAGGGATTTGCAAATAATATCTGAAGGGTAGATGGTTTTCTTTCTTAAATGTTAAGTTTCTATTACCTGTGCTTACAGTTTCATCTTTTGCAAGGACTTTGTGATGTGACTGCTAATTCTGATTTCTATACTGCCGTGAAACAACGCCAGGCTGCTTAAAGTCAGGCTGTCAGGAGCCCTGTACTAGGAAATGGAGGCAGGTTGCGTGTAAAAGAGGTCTAAATGCAGCTGGGTATTTTTGATGCATGGAAAATAAGTTTAAACTTTTCACAACAGCAGTTCTGATTTTGTATTGTTTTATGGAAAAAAATAACCCCAAAACCTTTCTTTCTTTTCTAGCCATGAAGATGGACCCACTGCTAAAAAATGCAAGACTGAGGAAGGGGATGCCCGCTTTAGTGTCTCCAGCCTGGCTGAAGGCAACGTCACCTGTGTAAGCAGAACCTTCCCAGTGTGCCTTCTTATTTCCAGGAAGTCTGGGGCTTGGGGAACTTGCATCATATTTTGTCAGTCTGTTCATACCACTTTCAAATAAGACCATGATCACGTTCTCTGGTCCTTTCTCTATATAAACCATATTGACCCACCCCATACTTCTTTTTTTAAGTAATTATTGTCCTGAGTTATCTATAGAATTATCTGTATGACATGTAAGCTCTATGTCATAATCTATAGAACACAGAACACCTCAGTGTTGAGATTTTTTTGTTAGAGATTTGGTTGTTGACTTCTTGTTACAGTTTTTTATGGGTCAAAATGATAGGGTAAGTAGGGGCTAATGATATGGGTCTAAAGCCTCAAGTCTATCAAATTGGAGTTTGTATGCCTCTCCTATTTATTTTTTAAAGTATGATTTTAGAACAGAATTCACAAGCTCAGGGCTTCTCCAAATCAAGTATCTTTTGACACTTGAGATCTTTATTTAATGAGAAGGTTTTTGGAACTTGAAAATACAGGGTTAACAGCATTGGTTTAAATCAATGGATCTTAAAAATTATGCAATAACTTATTAGCAACATATACTGGGAAAGATAGGGAATAAAGGACATACCTTTATTCCTATCTCAAACTGAAATTCTCTCAGAAAAATTGAATGTCTGAAAAATGATTTGGATTTCATTGAGATGTTTTATATAGTAAAGAAAAAAATCACCATCTTGTTTATTCTGAGAACTTTTCTGCTTGGTATTCCAGAGCACACTGAAAATTTTAGTACACTTTGGTATCACATTGTTTTCTCTCATATGAGCTGAGTGATGCTTATCCCCTGATAGGGTTGGAACCAGCAGATTGAAGACTTAGGTATAATCAGAAAGTGCTGTACAGTGTGGCAAAGAATTTCATCTTGAAAACGTTCCCACCTAGCACTACAGTAAATCTTTGTACATAATCTGCTTTCACTTTTTGAGGACATGTCGAGCTTGGGAATGCTTGTATATTCTAACAGAACTTCAATGCCAAAGGGTCACATGCAGTCCCACATGCAGTTCACTGAGTCAAACATTAAGTGTATTTCTCCTGTTAGTGGGGCAAATATATTCGGAACTGACCTCATACTGCAGAATCTTCCCCTTTCTAATTGATTGGGTGTGAGGATGTACAAGCAGCCTCCACAAGCTGAGCTGGCTAGTGGCTTGGGTTGTAATACTTTTTTGATCCCTTTGGAAAGAAATCGGCTTGCATAAAGAAAGACGAGGGAAAGTATAGAAGGCAGCTATTTGACCACTAGAATCTGCTAGCTTTTAGTGGAGCCCTGGAAATGAAAATGAATGAAAAGGACTTCTCTTTGTCTTTGGTTTTAGTTTATAAGAATGGACTTTTTACTTGAAGCCATCTTATGTTGCCTGGGGTGCTAACAAAATGAGAAATACCTGTAGGCTTATTGTCTGTGGGTATATTCCAGGTTGGAAGTGTGAATCCTGCTGAAAACTTTCGTGTTCTGGTGAGACAGAAGAATGCCAACTTTGAGGAAGGTGAGTGATTGAATTTGCATCTGAGAGAAATATTTAGTTAAGCTAATTATCTAAATTAAAGTCTAACTGAATTAAAGTCTAACCTTTTGTTCTGCTTTTATACAGTATTTTTCTTTACTGGCAGATCTAAGTAATTGTCCCTTGTTAGAGGATTCACTGAGGGTAACTCAGCACAGATCTGAATAAGACACTAATTTTATAGGTCTCCCTCTTTAAAAACAAAACAGAACAAAAATAGAACCGTGGATGAAAACCTTGGTGCTTTTAGTTTCACTTCAGTGATATGCGTGAAATTTTGGGAATGAACTTGGAATAAAAAGCATTTTGTGTCATCTTTTTTTCCCAGAGATGTAGTTCTTATTCAAGTCCTAAGAGTTTGAGCCTCTTTTATAATAGCCCAGAAAGACCTTAATACTGCCTCTAAATTTGACCTTTCCTGAATTGACTATATATAGCCTCACTTTTTCTCATCAGATATTACCTAAAATTCTATTTAGGCTGTGGCTAATATTAAAACATCTTCCAGGGTTGGACAGAGGGTCTAGAACCAACATTTGTTTACTTGATTGCATTCAGGTTTCTGTTCATTTACCCTTTAAACAGTGGCAATTGGCAGTTGTTAATCCTGCAGTTTGTGTATACATTATTGCATTCATCATTGCTGCCCTGGAGTTAGGCCTGTCTGTCAACTGCCTTCTGTGTGTTTATATTTGTGTGTGCAGAATTCTCCCTTCCAGCATCTTGGCATTTGGAGGGAAAATGGCTCCTAAATGTCTAGAAACACGACTGTCTAGCATAGGTCTAAGGCACCTTACCACTTGGGCTAGGGATCCTGGCCAGATGCCTGAACCTGCTGTGCTGTTAGCCCAATGCAGTCATAACCAGCTGAGCTTTAGAGAGAGCATGCATTCTACCAGCCAAATTCTGTTGGCAGGAATGCCAGAGGCCAAGCCCATGGGAATTCCTGAGGAAGAACAACTTCATCATCATCATAATGTACAGTCTATTAAGTACAGTCTGTATGTTTCGGGCTTTGAGATGGAGGGAGCGTTTTTTGTCCTGCTAAGAGTTGCCGTAGAGGAGAAAAGCTTTGTGCTTTAACATAAAACAAACTTCATCCAAATAAAAGAAGGAAATCTAAAATTCTCAGCAACAGCTTTCCAGAAGGATTGGTGGAAGCAATACTTCAGCATTTCTCTCTCATAGATTGGAATGATCGGAAAAGAGTGTTACAACGTTGTACCTGTGCTATTGTCTGTTTAGCTCTATGTTGTGACTATGTGTTTGGAAGGGGACAGAGACATTACTGGACCAAGTCAGTGAAGTCTGTTGTCTATCATGATTATTGTGGGCTCTTGGAGGAAGATTGAATCCTTCTTAGCTGTTGATCGTATGTTGTCAATTACCCGGCCAAAGTCCAAGGTTCTCCCTTAGGAAGTGATTGGTCTCTGGGTCATCATCACTGTATAGCAGCCACTAGTTGTTTCGTGTCTACTGTGTTCAAGGCATTATGCTGGCACTTTGTTATGTTCTTTTAATTTCCCTGTATCGCGGCCCTGCAAAGTTACGTGAGGAAGTGGAGAAAATGTGAGGGCTTTAACAGCTGGTGCCAGAATTTTCTGAAAGAGAGAATTGTTTTAACTGGGAAAATAATTCGATAAGTGCTTAGGGTAGAGAATGAGTCTCTGTCCCCAGGCTTGGTGATTGGCCAGTGCTGAGGCTTCAGAGGAGGCAGTTCCTCAGCATCCTAGAAGTAGAAAGCTAGTTCAGGAGAGGAGGGGGTGAAAAGAGGTGGGAGGAAGGGAGACAGAGGGAGTAAATTCACACAGTGTCACAGCCTTCTGCAGTGCGATCCCAACTCGTGACTACAATACTCAGTGATAGTAAAGGTCTGAAAAGGCTAGACTTGAGTGCCCTATTTGGGAAACTGGTCAAGAGGCAGAGTTTGGTGTCTGGCATCACCTCACACAGAGCAGAGAAAGCACCTAAGAACACAGGAAGCCAGAGTCTGAAGAGACCAGGAGAGAGTACATTCCTGAGAATTTGCTCATGTCTAGGAAAACATGGTTTTCCTCTGGCCATGAGACAGGGGATTCATGACAGTCTTGTGAAAATAGCAAGGGCAAGTGGAGCCTTAACTGATGGGGAAACTGTAAAATTGGAGGCTATGAATTTCCACAGAAGTTGCACAGGGATTCAAATACATGTCCTTTTCAAATACAGGATTTTTTTACTTTGCCCTACTGGTGATGTTCTTCCCGATTCCTAATGCCGTTCTTTCCTATACTTGTAGGAAAACATCATAAGGTCATGCATCCAAATCCTGTGAGAGAGGATGAGAGAACTCTTGATGACAAGATTATCAGGAGTCCTAGCACGTTGCTAGTATTTTGATGCTGTATGTCCCTCTACCTCCATCTAGGATTTGGTGAATCAGAGCTCACAAAGTGAGCTCACAGATCCAGACTTTGCACAGAGCTGTTGAAAAATGGGACTGACTGCTTGTCAGCAGCTAGTCTGCCTCATGGTTCTAACTTGATTTCCCTGTTGTCTGCCTTGTGACCAGCTCCAGAAATTTTGTCTCTTCATTGCTTGTCCTACTTTTGTTCGTCTGCTTGGGCATCTTCTTACTAAGCCTCTTTGTAAGCCAAGACTCTTGGCAGTTCAAAGAGAAGTCCCTCCTAATTTTAAGCTGCCTCCCTTCTAGTGACCCTCTCGTTGAGAGATTGCCTGTCCATGGTGTGGAGAAGAGAAGCTCTTCTTCTTTTCTCCAGTCTATCTGTTTTAATTCAGTTGCCAAAAGTGTGAGCAACAATAAATAGTTGGCAAGATTGTTTTCCCCTGAGGGAGAACTTGGCTGCTTTACCTATTATCATAAACTAAAATATGGATGTGGATCACATCTCATCCTCAAGTCTTTTGTCTTTGTTCTCCAGCCTACTTTATTCTCTCATAAAAGCATTCATTCATTTTAAAAGATATATCCTAAAATTAACGTTTCTAAGTCTCCTTTCAGAACTAGACAGAACGTGGTAGAATTAGTAATAAAATGGCATTATTCATCAAAGCCAAATAGATAATTTTGTTCAGTTCTGTTTTTGTGTGGCATAGTATACTAGCCTTTCTTTCCAACTGTTTACTTACATAGATTATGTGATTTTCTGCCACAAGTCAAGCCCCAAACTAGATCCTCAAGAATTGTGATCTAAGCCGGGCTCGGTGGCTCAGCCTGTAATCCCACGCCTTGGGAGGCTGAGGTTGAGTGGATTGCCTGAGCCCGCGGGTTTGAGACCCGCCTGGGCAAGCAAGACCTCATCTCTACAATAAATCAAAAAATTAGCCGGGTGTGGTAGTGCGCACCTGTAGTTCCAGCTATATGGAAGGCTGAGGTGGAAGGATCGCCAGAGCCCAGCAGGTTGAGGCTGTGGTGGCTGGGAGCGGCCACTGCACTCCAATCTGGGCGACAGTTAGACTCCAACTCAAAAAAAAAAGAATTGTGATCTAGGAGTAATTTTCCATGTGTGCATGTTTTCTTTTCTAAATTGGCCCTGATTTACGTAATCTTTGTTATGAATTATGTACTCTATCATAGCTCTGCTCAGATAAGAAGATAATAATGTGCTTTCATCTATACAGAGCAGGTAAATTTAAGAAAAATACGTTCTGTCAAATACCTTGGACATCTTAAAGGAAAGATCCTAAATACAAACAGTGACTGAAATTTTAAACATCTTTAGCTCTGTAAAAATTGTTTTCAATAACAATTTGACACACTTTCTTAGTCTTAAAATAACACTGATGCATGTAGTCATGAGAGAAAATACGTGATTGAGGATTCTAGATGTTTGGTCTGTAGTTCATATTTTGTATTAAATATCTCACCTAAACCGGGCTCAGTGACTCAGCCTGTAATCCCGCGTCTTTGCGAGGCTGAGGTGAGTGGATTGTCTGAGCCCACGGGTTCGAGACCCGCCTGGGCAACTTGGCGAGACCTTATCTCTACAATAAATCAAAAATTAGCCAGCCGTGGTAGCAAGCACCTGTAGTTTCAGCTACTTGGAAGGCTGAGGCGGAAGGATCACCGGAGCCCAGCAGGTCAAAGCTGCGGTTGGCCGGGAACGGCCACTGCACTCCAGTCTGGGCGACAGAGTGAGACTCCAACTCAAAAAAAAAAAAAAAAATCTCACCTATTTTCACTGGTTTCTTTTTTCACTAGCTTTTAAATTATTAAACCTTAGAACTTGATTATCCAGACTGATTTTATGCCTCATTTATCAAAATGAATGGTCTCTATTCTAGCACAAAAACAGGTCTGTTTGGGATTGTAGAAGCTGCCTACTAAAAGGGTGTGTTACTTTTTGACGTGGTAATTATACATCATGGCCTTTAGAGTCTTGTTCATCTTCTGTGGTTGTGGACTGACAAAGTAGTTGAGGTGCCTTTTCACAGGTCAGTGCAAATGTGTGGAAGACTCTGGATCACATTCCAGAGAGCCAGTTCTTGGCCTCTTATGGCTTTAACTTTTACACTGGTTGTCTACATTTCATTAGCTGGCATGTCACTACCCTGAAGTTTACATCTTAATATAGTAAAACTCATCAGCCAAATAATTGAAATGAAATATTGAAATAAAGATGGAAAGAAAAGATTTAAGACGTGGCATAGAAACCAAAAGCCATCATCATATATGCATAATCATTTTTACAGTGTTTTCGCTTTTCAGTAACTGTCCCTAAAAGGCTTTTATCCTTTGGCTTCTAAAATCCTTTCAAGTTCTTGTCAGTCTCTATCTATCTCTAACTGCAGGGTTTGTCTCTTATAAATTATAGCCTGGATTATCCATTAAGAAAGAGACACGCCTAGTAGCATAAAAATGAAAGCATGCTTGCTATAGTTAAGTTCTGTTTACTGAAAAGTCACAAGATCTATAAATTTTTTAAGGAGAGCCTTATTTTTTTTTGGTAAAGGGTTACACCCTACTAGGTGGCCATCCTACAGGC